GCGCCTGTGTGTTTATTTATGTATGTACGTTTATGTGTATGTGTGTGTGTGAGTGAGAGACAGAGACAGAGAGAGAGAGCCTGTGTGTGAATGTATGTACGTGTGTGTGTGTGTGTGTGCGTGTGTACGTGTGAATGGACATAGTAGCCCCTCCCTCTCCCTCTCCCCTGCCTGCCTCTCTGCCCCTCCCCTCCTCTCTCTCCCCCTCCCAGCATCAGCACCGCGCCTGTCTCCAGCTCGGGCTGTTTCCGCGGCGAGGATGCGACCGAGGCTGGCACACCCTGGCGTTCCCTTTTATAGCCTCTTACTACGGCCGTGTCCACGCCGCTGACTCTGCTCCTGCTGCTGCCTCTCCACAGACCTGGCTTCTTTAAACCTGGACTACAATCTCAAACACCAGCAGCATTTTTTTTTATTTTGAATCTTCTTTGCAGCTGCCGGACGATACTTAAGGGGCTTCAAAGAGCGACTGTTTCTGTGTGGAATATTTCTTCAGCTCATGCGGATTTTGCGACATCGCTTTAAAGGTAGGAATCTGTTCTTTACACATGAGATACGATGGGATCAACTTTATCGATCTCACGATGGACAGATGTACAAGCTGAGTTATTCTGTGAAGGAATGTGTTTATGGTATAGACACCGGGGTAAAGTTTGGGATGGGGGACAATGGGTGAAAAAGATCGAATCGGGCTGGTTCTTAAGTATTTTATGATTTTTGCAGAAATGCCTGGTTAAAATTGTAAAATTAAACTATAGCAGTGCATTACCGCTTAAAAGTAACACATGGAAAATGACTTTTTAACATAGTTCTTATCCACAGTTGAGTTCCCATTAGTTTAGGTACTATAACTATCACTAATACATTATTATTTATATTAGTATTATTACTATATGTACTACTGTTTTCTTTGTATGAAATGTGGCTTGAAAATGCCAGTTTCACCTACCCCCTATCCCCGCCCATTTCTCCAAACTTACTTGCCACAGTTCAACAAACACTTGGACCCATTTTTCTGCATAAAAAACAAGAAAATAAGTCTCTGTGATAAAATGCTAAAATTGGATGTGATTTTAAAGAGTGAATAATCCCATTTATGAGGAGACAGTGGATCGGTTGGTCGTGCGTTGGGGTTTTGAACCTTATGGTCGTGTGATGTCCCCTACTCCCACTGAGGTCTGCTTGTGCCTCTGAGCAAGACACTTCCACCACACTGTGTCCGAAGCCGACGGAGTAGGATCCTCCACCGGCTGCAGTAGGGTCAGGGAATGAATGAATGAATGAATGAATTAATGAATTAATGAATGAATGAATGAATGAATGAATGAAAGAATGAAAGAATGAAAGAATGAATGAATGAGACCAAAACGTATCGGGAGTGTGGATGTGGAAAACTAATGGTCAATATGTTGGTGGTGAACCAATCCATTCTGTTCAGTATCGCAATATTTTGACCAAACAATTGAATCGATACAATATTACAAAACGATACAATTGTTGCAATATTTAATTCTATAATGATCTGTTTAACTTTTGTGTTTTCTTCGAGTTTAGTCTGGTTATATACTGAGGTCTCTCTGGTCTCTTTCTGGTCTCTCTTTAGTCTCTTTCTCTCTGGTCTCTCTCTGGTCTCTTTTTGGTTTCTCTCTGGTCTCTCTCTCTGGTTTCTCTCTGGTCTCTCTCTCTCTGGTCTCTCTCTGGTCTCTCTCTGGTCTCTTTTTGGTTTCTCTCTGGTTTCTCTCTGGTTTCTCTCTGGTCTCTCTCTGGTTTCTCTCTGGTTTCTTTCTGGTTTCTCTCAGGTCTCTCTCTCTGGTCTCTCTCTGGTCTCTCTCAGGTCTCTCTCTCTGGTCTCTCTCTGGTCTCTCTTTGGCCTCTCTCTCTGGTCTCTCTTTGGTCTCTCTCTCTGGTCTCTCTCTGGTCTCTCTTTGGTCTCTCTCTCTGGTCTCTCTCTGGTCTCTCTTTAATCCCTCTCTATAGTCTCTCTCTCTGGTCTCTCTCTGGTTTCTCTCTGGTCTCTCTCTGGTTTCTCTCTGGTCTCTCTCTGGTCTCTCTCTGGTCTCTCTCTGGTCTCTCTTTGGCCTCTCTCTCTGGTCTCTCTTTGGTCTCTCTCTCTGGTCTCTCTCTCTGGTCTCTCTCTGGTTTCTCTTTGGCCTCTCTCTCTGGTCTCTCTTTGGTCTCTCTCTGGTCTCTCTCTCTTGTCTCTCTCTGGTCTCTCTTTGGTCTCTCTCTGGTCTCTCTCTCTTGTCTCTCTCTTGTCTCTCTCTGGTCTCTCTCTCTGGTCTCTCGAGTCTCTCTCCTGTTTTCTCTCTGTTCCTCTATGAAGTCTTCTTTGGTGACTCTATTCTGTTGTATGTGACTAATGTAAGTTCAGTGCTGGGACCTGGCCGTTCACGTCAGAATCGTCTAATCAGAGAATGATGATGTCTGGTCTGTGATAAGGTCCTGTGTCCTAAATGTTCAACAAAAACCTTTGAATAAACTCTTTACATCAAAAAGGCAAAACTTGCTGAAACGCACTATAGGAATCTTAAGACTGAATTGTGGCCCAAATATCACAACACCATCAAATTCTCTCATTTTTGCCAATTCACACAAATATAGTATTGTGTATAAGTGAAGCTGAGTTGAATACTAAATGATCTTGGTCTGGGTTTGGGGTGGATCTATTCTGGGGTTGGATCCATCTGTGTCAAAAATAAAAGTATAAACATTGTTACTGCAGTCCGGCGGCGGATGCGAGGAGCAGATGTAAATCCGAGGCTTGTTTTTCCTGATCAAAGCGATAGAATCAAAGCGGCGTCACGTGAGCCTCCTGTTGAGGATTACTGCGGACGAGCTGTCGGAGCCAAACAACAGCATTTCAACTTTCCTGGAAGACGACGAGAAGAGAGGGGAAGAGAAGAGGTTCTACTTAAAGCTTGGGAACCTAAATCTCAAGACAGGGAAAACATGATATGTCTAGTTCCAGGCTGTTTTGGAGCTGGTTTGAATCAATTATAATATTGAAATCTTGGTTAGGAGAAAAAAATAAAGGCAATTAATTCATATAACTAGTCAAATACAGCTTGATTCATATATGAAAGCATGGGTACCTAACTCTTAAATAGAAAAATTGTTATAATGTCCTTATAACTATATAACTTATTACTCACTCTCAAAACAGTTTGCTTCCATAATTGTTTGAATTAGCCTCTGTCACATTGAGATCAGATATTTTGAGGTCTCTCTCTGGTCTCTCTCTATTGTCTCCCTGGTCTCTCTGGTCTCGCTCTGTTCTCTCTCTCTCTGGTCTCTCTCTGGTCTCTCTCTGGTCTCGCTCTGTTCTCTCTCTCTCTGGTCTCTCTCTGGTCTCTCTCTTGCCTCTTTCTGGTCTCTTTCTGGTTTCTCTTTGGTCTCTCTCTCTCTTGCCTCTTTCTGGTTGGCCTTGGCCTTGGTAATGTTGGCCTTGGTCTGGAAGAAGCCGACTTGAACATAAGCTAGCTGAAGCCACATTCCTTATCTTAGCCGTGCGCCGTAACAGGGGCAGACGTGTCGCTAAGACGGTTGCTAAGGAAAGCCGGTCTCTCCCCGGTGAATGAAGGAGAAGCTGGAGAAGTGTACTTTATACATGTAAGTCAATAGGAGCGAGCGCGAGTTGGAGCAAAACTTCATCCATGCTCACTTCCCCATCAGGTGTCTTTGAGCTAGAGGGTTAGCATTGTCCATCTGTATACAGTCTAATGTAACCTGTGTGTAAGATAGCCCTGGAACCAGACCGCTCCCTGGTCACGTCCTCCCAGGTGACCTCATCCCGGTGTCTGCGTCGTTAGTTCCGCCTCTCTGCGTCCATCACAGACCGGGGGAAGCCTCCGGAGTCAGACCCCCCCTCTCTCTCCCTATCTCTCTCCCGGTCCGCCGGCGTACGCTGAGCCACCGGAGGGACCGCGCTCTTGCCTGGATCCGCCTGGTGCTAATTGTGTCCCTGATTGTGTTTCCGTACGGCTCGGAGGATTGGGGTTTCCGAGCAGCAGACGTCACACGGATGAGAGGAAATCGCGTCTCTGTGACTGCGAGAGCTCTCATCAATCTTTGCTCTGATTGGCTGAGAAGTGACATATGTGCGTTTGTAATGTGGTTATAATGTGAGCTTTTATTACACTGGGAACGGTGCAGCAATAAAACTGAACCGTCTCCGTGTACGCAGTGTGCTTTCAAAGGCGAGGCCAGTTTATTTGTACATCGCAGTGTATACACAAGACAACTCAAAGGGCTTAACAATCACACAAGGCATTGACATCAGAAATATTTAAAACCTGGATTTGTACAGTCTCAAAGAAGAAGCCTGTCTAAGATTTTCAGGAAGACTGTTCCAGATTTTAGCAGCATTCATCTGAAACGCTGCGTCCTCATGTTTAGTCCTGACTCTGGGACCTGCAGCAGGAGGCCAGTCCCTGTGCTCCTCAGCGTTTGAGTTTGTTCATATACTTCTAACATTTCACAGATGTACTGCTTTTCTACTCACCTGAACTCACAACGGCAGAAGAGAGAGAGACCAGAGAGATACCCGAGGAGGACCATAGACAAAGACCCTTTTGGTTGTATGTCTGAGCGCTGCTGCAGCTGTCAAAAGCTGTGCATACAATGTAAAATACAGCAGCAGAGGACACCGCACTGAGGAGCTCTACTCTCCCCTGATTGGGTGTTTACACTGGTCCTGTGTAACCAGTACCAGGTCCTTCTTTAGTCTCTCTTGGTCCTGGTTCTATCCAGGACGAGCTGCTACTAAAGTGTTCTAAATGACAGTGATTGAGTAGACTGGTGTAGAGTATAGTAGAGTAGGGTAGAGTAGAGTAGAGTAGAGTAGAGTAGAGTAGAGTAGAGTACAGTACAGTAGAGTAGAGTAGAGCCAGTGGAAACAGGGCTACAGATACCATCTCAGATTCTCAAACAGGACATAAATAATGCATCACATATTTGTTCTTTAAATCACAGATACGTATCTGGTTTTTATTGTCTCTATCTCAGTTTCCATAATCCACACTCGCCTGACAGGTTCTCAACGGATGGAGCGGGTCCAGGTGCTCCCCGGTGGATAGAGGGCCCTGTCTGGATGAGGGGTGAGGGGGGGGGGGGTCGGTGGACGGGGGAGGAGGCAGTCCGTGGGTGAGTCTAATGCCGTACATCACCCTCTGCTCCTAATGGAAAAGGGGGAACTTGAAGGGTCCACTCCAGCCGCCCTCCTCCATCACCGCCGGAGCACCTGCAGGAGGAGGTGGGCTGTTGCTATAGCGACGACAAGGGAATACTACAGAGCGGAATGATGCAATAGTTGTCTAAATGTTTGACCCTGAAACCTTCTCTGTGGTCTTAAACCCAGAGCACAGGGCCTTCTCTGTGGTCTTAAACCCAGAGCACAGTGCCTTCTCTGTGGTCTAAAACCCAGAGCACAGGGCCTTCTCTGTGGTCTTAAACCCAGAGCACAGGGCCTTCTCTGTGGTCTTAAACCCAGAGCACAGGGCCTTCTCTGTGGTCTTAAACCCAGAGCACAGGGCCTTCACAAACATACAAACGAATCCTGGTCCGGACCAAAGAACCGGACCGAGCCCCACTTTTTTAGGTGGTCTCAGTCCGCTTCCAAACGAACTCTGGTCCAAATTAATTCAGGTCTGAATACTACCGGTGTCGATTTGACTCAACTCCAGGATACGTGCGCATTTTTGGGCTTAACAAGCCGCAGACAGGAACTGTGAGGAATTAGCCCCGCGTCACGGCTGCTAACTATGCTGCTAACTATGCTGCTAACTATGCTGCTAACTATGCTGCTAACTATGCTGCTAACTATGCTGCTAACTATGCTGCTGACTATGCTGCTAACTATGCTGCTAACGCTACATAACAACACTGAGCCGTGGGAAGACCTGCAGCAACGAGGAGACACTGTGCAACAGGCTTATGGAGTTAAAACGGTTCACAGTTTACAGTGATGTTCATGGCAGCATCTTCGAACCATTTGCATTATAAAGCCTCACGTGTTTGACTCACGTCTCAAAAAGCAATATCCCGTATCATGTAGTGAACTGTGTTCTTTGGCTCATACCAGATCCTCCGTCGTCTGTTTATCCCGTTGTTATTATAGATCCATGGTTTATCCACATGCTGCTGGCAGTAAGATGTGGGACAGGGCCGTTATTATTATAGATCCAGGGACAGGGCACGTAGCGCAGTCTCCTTCGGCTTTCTCCTCACGCATTCGCAGACAACAACATTTTAAACAACGTGTTTGGCCTGTGTCATATGAGCTGCTGTTGATGTTGAAGGTGTTTTTGCTCTAAAAAGAGCAAACAGAGGCAGAGCAGACTGCTGCACATACGAGCTCAATGTTTTCCTCCGTTTCCGCATCTATTCTCCATGAGCTCTCGCTGTCCAATAGGAGCGCCCATCGTCACACGTGTCGATATGTTTATAAAAAAAGTTCACTTGCAGAAAGTACAGTCTGAATACGAACTGGACCAAAAGAAAAAAGTTTGGCCCGCTTTTGCTTTGGACCAAGCAAGCAGCAACTTTTCTGGTCTGAATACACCCTATATGTACCTGTGTCTCTCTGTGTCTATATGTACCTGTGTGTATATGTACCTGTGTCTACATATGTACCTGTGTCTCTCTATGTCTATATGTACCTGTGTCTCTCTGTGTCTATATGTACCTGTGTCTCTCTGTGTCTATATGTACCTGTGTCTACATATGTACCTGTGTCTCTCTATGTCTATATGTACCTGTGTCTCTCTGTGTCTATATGTACCTGTGTCTCTCTGTGTCTATATGTACCTGTGTCTCTCTGTGTCTATATGTACCTGTGTCTACATATGTACCTGTGTCTCTCTATGTCTATATGTACCTGTGTCTATATGTACCTGTGTCTCTCTGTGTCTATATGTACCTGTGTCTATATATGTACCTATGTCTCTCCATGTCTATATGTACCTGTGTCTATATGTACCTGTGTCTCTCTGTGTCTATATGTACCTGTGTCTCTCTGTGTCTATATGTACCTGTGTCTCTCTGTGTCTATAGTTTCATTTGGATTTTTGGTTGGTGTTTACCCTGGACTTTTATTCTATCATCTTCATTCAAACTTCATCCAAGAGCTAGCTCATGTTTATATCAGCTTCTTCCGCATTAAGGCCAACGCTCTGGTGATGCACAGCTGCTTGATGCACAGCTGCTTGATACACAGCTGTATGATACACAGATGCTGCAATAAACTACAACACACTTGAAGGTAACGCTGTCGTCAATGACAACACTAAACAGAACAACAGACACTACAGCGTGATAGAACGCTATACTCATTGGGTGTGTTCGTAAATGTAATCTGCCGCTCTGAAAAGGAATAAGTGGCCGAGCCCGGCCTCTCCGAGGTAATTATACGGTTATCGGCCTGAAGCCTGGTCCTCGGGCTCTCGGGCTGCAGGGCTCTAGTTCAAACCAAAGCTCTATCAACCTCACACCAGCATCATCAGCTTACATTTAGTTTGTATTTATATAATTTTATAAAGCATCATCAGCTACATTTAGTTTGTATAATACATTTGGTGAAAGTAACTTCAAAGCAGAGTGTGAAAAACCTGTCCCTGAACATGAAGCGCTCACAGATCACCTCAGCGTCTCTCACAGAATGTAAAATCAGCCTCTTACTTTGTGACAAAATAGACCAAATATGTCTCGGCTGCACTACTTTTTGGGTCTTTACCGGTTTCCAGGAAAAAGAGAAGCAATGTTCATTCAATCTTCATTCACCAGCTAGCTCATGTTCAAATCAGCTTCTTTTGCATTAAGGCCAACGCTGTGGTGATGTCACACTGTGGTGATGTCACACTGTGGTGATGTCACACTGTGGTGATGTCACATTCCGTCTTCTCCTGTACAGTCTTTCCGGTCACATCTCCATCCTCAGCTCTACAGTTTACGACCCGCTCATAAACCCGGCTCTTTTGGCCTCGGCTGCTTCTTTCTGTTGACATTTGTGATGTATGTTTTGCCAATATGACGACCATTCCCCCATTACCTCCCTGACCTCTGGACCCCCGGCAGCCTCCAACCCCCACCCTCCCTCCCCCACGCCCAGGACAGATGCAGCCTGGTCGGTGTCTGTCTCTGCTGATGGATAGCACGGAGCACATAGCATCACAGGTTGATCGGGGGAAGGGCGAGACTGGGATGAGTCGTCATTTCTGTCCACGTTGAAATTCAGTCGTCCGGTTTGAAGTCGTGAACGTGTTGCACTGAAATGTGTGCTGAGAACGAGGTTGTTCTTTTAAAGCTCGGTTACTTAAAAGGTACTGTATACAGGAGGATTGAAACGTGTCTCCCATATCACCAGAATGACTGACAGTTAGAAGGACCAGTAGTTTAGATGATTCAATGTATTCATTTATTTATATATTTATTAATTTATTTGTTTTTATTATCTTTTTTAATATATATATTTTTTATTTTGTGTATCTATTTATTTATGTACATGTATGTAGTCATTAATGTAGTTGATTATTATTATTATTATTATTATTATTATTATTATTATTATTATTAATAATAATATTATTATTATTATTATTATTATTATTATGTATTTATCTCTTTGGCAATGAAAATACATCAACATATTCAGATACATTAAATTATTGTAGAATTTGATTTTTGACTCCCTTGAAAAATAGGTTCTTAATCTCAATGGGTATTTTTCTGGTTAAAAATAGGTAAATAATTAAAATAATAATTGTAGTCCTTTATCACAAATGAAAAGGAGCAGAAAGAAGAGAATATTCTTGAATGAAGCTTGTATCAGTCCCAAATGTACAAGTTAAAGGTTTGTCGGAGGATTTTCCCAAATTTTTGGAAAGAACCGCCCTCTCCACATTTTGAACAAAACTCTCTGCTCTTATTGGACGAGCTCGTGTCACCAGAATGATTGACAAGTGGAAGAACCAATAGTCTTGAGGATCCATCCAGAAATTGTCCTATACACTTTTAAAAGAAAAAGCATTTAAGACGGACTTCAGCACTACTTCTTCAAACTGTCTTAACCCTTTAATGGCCAAAGTAGCTACAAGCGCCTAAATCCAGAGCACTTTCTATACAGCGATTTTGCTTCCCACAATTGACTTTTTCATACATAATTTTTCTCATGTATTTCCGTCATTGGTCAAAGTCGTCCATCGTCGCTTTTTCAGACACAGGGAGTCGCCTTTTGTCTAATTCCCGATCAATTTCCTAACAACGAGAGTGAAAACCGGGATCCCGCTCGCCTCGCCCCTGATGGTGCTTTAAACGGAGTGAAATGGAGGCGCGTCCCGACCTGCCGTAAATCACTTCTGCAATTACATGTGTCACAAGAGCCGCTGGTGATAAAAGTGCGCTTTATGAGGCGTGAGTCGAGCCGAGGAGCTGAAGAGGAGGCAGAGCGGTCTGCGAGTCTGCAGCAGCGAGACTGTAACTCTGAGCAGGACGTGGAGACAAAGGAAAAGGTTGTAAATCCCACAAACACAGCACTGCAGTCTCCGAACATCCTGCTCCGACCACGACACGCCCTCTGCCTCTGCTCACCACCAGTTACTCCTGTTACATACTTCTATTTGGTTCTATTCATTTAAATAACTTCTTTCATCAGCCATAACAGAGCGAGCCCCGGTCAGATGAAAAGGCAGAAGGAGAGAAGCTGAACCTGAGGGAAGCAGACTCTAGACTGAGGCCAGTGTCGGGAGAAACATGATACAAAAGTATTCAAACTAATGTAAAGGATTGTCTGTGCTGAAACTCTGGGTAATGTTTGACTCGTTTTTTCTAACCCAAAATGAAATTGTCTTTTGTTTTTATACTATGTCACTGAGATCAGCAGAAAGTGCGGCAGTAGAAGCCGACTGTTAGTGGGTTTTCTTTCTGGTAGAAGAAGCTGAAGCCGATGCTGAGGCAGGTCTTTGTGGACAATATATTTTACAGATGGACAGACTCAATTTTTTAGAGTTTGTTGGAGAGAAAGATGTGGAACAACAAGTTTATGTTCAAACTAGAGCCCTGCAGGGGCCTATTATTTGGGCCCGAGCCCGGCCCTGACCCGAGGGGGTGGCTCCCCGGCCCGACATGGTTTTTGAATTCTCAGGCCCAGAACCTGTATCAAGCCCGACTTTTTTTACCTCCCATAACAATGTTTAATTGTAGTATTTAGTGTCGCGCACTGATATGAACACAGGCGCGGCTCGAGGGCGGAGTTATACATGGTAGTGATGTGTTGCAATTCATTCTGTGTGTACGAGTGAACAGCAGCAGCTGTATAATACACAGCTGTATGATACACAGATGCTGCAATAAACTACAACACACTTGAAGGTAACGCTTTGTGTCGTCAATGACAACACTAAACAGAACAACAGACACTACAGCGTGATAGAACGCTATACTCATTGGGTGTGTTCGTAAATGTAATCTGCCGCTCTGAAAAGGAATAAGTGCCCGAGCACGGCCCGTGCCGTGTCCAAGGTAATTATACGGTTATCGGCCTGAAGCCTGGTCCTCGGGCTCTCGGGCTGCAGGGCTCTAGTTCAAACCAAAGCTCTATCAACCTCACACCAGCATCATCAGCTACATTTAGTTTGTATTTATATATTTATATAAAGCATAAAAAGCAGCATTTAGTTTGTTTAAATACATTTGGTGAAAGTAACTTCAAAGCAGAGTGTGAAAAACCTGTCCCTGAACATGAAGCGCTCACAGATCAGATTACTAGAATGTAAAATCAGCCTCTTACTTTGTGACAAAATAGACCAAATATGTCTTGGCTGCACTACTTTTTGGGTCTTTACCGGTTTCCAGGAAAAAGAAGCAATGTCCTGCATTTATCCACCAACTGGGTCAAAATTGACTCTTTGGTCCATTTAGTTCCACAAACAGGAGTGAGCCTGAAGAGCAAACCGGCCCCTGCTCTGAGTAACTACTTCTGCAAATAAATCCATCGATCTGACCGCTCTGGGAGTTCTATGTCAGGCAGCAACACCCTCCACCTCACAGATCCGTGTCCCGTGAGCCACCGTGAGCCGCCGCGAGCCGCCATGAGCCGCCGTGAGCCGCCGTGAGCCACCGTGAGCCGCTGAAATGGTGTATAATGGTGTGTAATGTGCTTCTGTTGGAGGCAGGAGGTTCTCTGTCAGAGCAGTGAGGAGCGCATTGTGCAGAGAGAGACACACGACGGGGACCAGCTTTTGGGAAACCTCCCTGTGATCCTCAGAGTCCCAGCAGGAGGCCGTTCCCTGTGCTCCTCAGAGTCCCAGCAGGAGGCCAGTCCCTGTGCTCCTCAGAGTCCCTGCAGGAGGCCAGTCCCTGTGCTCCTCAGAGTCCCAGGTGGTTCTTACGGCACCATCATGTCAGAGATGTACTTCACCATTTGCCATATTTCAGTTTCAGTTTTTCTCATTCACTTAAAGAAATATCTGAGTTTTGAGACTTTCAGAGTATTTCCTTCACTCTCGTCTCGGTCTCTGTAAATCCCGTCTGCAGACTTTCTCTTGAGACCGGACTAAACTAGGTTAACTTCTGGCTCTCCGTTCAACAGAAGCCTGTGCTGCGTCTGTTTGAATTATTCACCTCGGTCCAAAGACTTCTGCTTTTTGAACTTTTAGATGAAGTGAAAACATCGCTTCTTGAGGCGATGACTCCGATCGGTTCAATCCATCTTTGAGTTTTCCTCCATGTAGCAACATTGTGCCTCATCCGTCACAGACCTGGAGTTGTGTTTGACTCCCTCCACGCTAAAATCAGGAACCTAGCTCCTTCTGTCTCAGTTAAGTAGAGGAGCCATTTCCTGCTTTTAAAACTAAAGTGTTGCTCATGAACTAGTTTTGTTTCTCAAGTGAAATTCAAACTTGGAAAAAAAAGTAAACAAATTCTTCTCCTCCCTCTGGTGGCAGCACAGGGAGTTACAGGCAGAGAACATTATTTACCTTTTTCAATTCAATTCAATATATTTGTGCAGCCCCCAAATCACAACAGCAGTCGGCTCTGAGGACTTTACAAAGTTGTGGATTCCTAAAGAACTGATCAGAAAATCAAACAGGAAAGACACTAATAACAAACACACAGAGCCATTGGTCCTTAGGGAGCATGTTATATTTAAATTAATGTTAATAATTAATGTGCCGGATTATTACTGTCCTTAGACCATACTACATCAACAAGGAACCACTCAACAACCCGGGGAGAAAGAGTGAGAACCAAAAATCCAGGACTATGTGAGATATTTTTAATTTTCTAAAACGTGAAATGACAGATTAGAGAAAGTCAAATGGGGCGATTACAAAGACCGTAGTCGTTTCAGATTCTTCAGTCCACGTCGTCCGTCACCGTCTGTGCAGAATAGGACCGGGTACAAAAGGCACTGGATTCAACGGAAGAAGCATTCCTTTACAGACTTTTGGAAAGAAGAACCCCAACCCATTTGAACGAAGATTGAAGGAAGCTCTGACACTCGCTAAAATAATGCATTTCCCTACGGAGAAAGAAACCATAACTGAACTGAGAGAAGCCAGCGGAAGAATAACCATCCGAGGAGACGTCTGCACCAGGAGAAAAGAGCCACAGGGGACGACACTGGACCAGGGGAGAGAGGAGGCTTCAGACCCCAACCAGGTCCAGAGCCAGACCCCCACAGCCGACCACCAGAGGAAACAGTGGGGATAGTAAAACAGTAGAATGGATAGTATTGAAATGTTGGAAGAAAAGGACTAAAGCACGATACATAAAAACAAAGCATGGATGTGTGCTCTCTCTCTCTCACTCTCTCTCTGGTCTCTCTCTGGTCACTCTCTCTCTATCTGTGTCTCTCTCTCTCTCTCTCTCTCTCTCTCTGGTCACCCTCTCTCTCTCTCTGTGTGTCTCTCTCTCCCTCTCTCTGGTCTCTCTCTGGTCGCTCTCTGTCTCGCTCTGGTCGCTCTCTCTCTTTCTCTCTCTCTGATCTCTCCCCCCTCTCTTGTTTATTAAACGTATTTGTGGTGAGTAATGACTGTGTAATGTGTGTTTACCTGTTGGTCCTGGAGCAGCAGTGATAAGGTCTTAGACGCTGGCCTTCCCTCCAGAGAGACAGACACAAAAGCTTTCCCACGTCCATGGAAATGAAAAGAAATGTTGTTGTTGTTTTCCTTTGACAGCGTGACACAGATCTCTGGAGAAGAGAAACTAAACAAGAAGTGACGCTGCACTAGACGTTAAGTAATTTATGAATGAAGGTGTTTGTGTTTGATCTGCCGCCGGAACTGAAGCCGAGAACTTGGTCTTTTCAAAATGGTTTAATCCAGGACTGAAGCTGTATCTGAGGCTGTAGTTTCAGGACTGAGGCTGTAGATCCAGGTCTGAGGCTGTAGATCCAGGACTGAGGCTGTAGATCCAGAATTGAGGCTTTGGATCCAGGACTGAGGCTGTATCTGAGGCTGTAGATCCAGGACTGAGGCTGTAGATCCAGGACTGAGGTTGTAGATCCAAGACTGAGGCTGTAGATCCAGGACTGAGGCTGTAGACCCAGGACTGAGGCTGTAGATCCAGGACTGAGGCTGTAGACCCAGGACTGAGGCTGTAGTTTCAGGACTAAGGCTGTAGATCCAGGACTGAGGCCGTAGTTTCAGGACTGAGGCTGTAGATCCAGGACTGAGGCTGTAGATCCAGGACTGAGGCTGTAGATCCAGGACTGAGGCTGTAGATCCAGGACTGAGGCTGTAGATCCAGGACTGAGGCTCTAGATCCAGGACTGAGGCTGTAGATCCAGGACTGAGGCTGTAGTTTCAGGAATGAGGCTGTAAATCCAGGACGGAATATTTCAGATGTTAGTTACATATACTTAACATGGTTGTTTTTTCTATCACAATGAAGCTTGTAACAGACCTAAATGACATAAAACAGGTCTAAACATCCACATCGTCAAAAATACTAGAAAATTGTAACATCGTCGCGGCAACCGTGTTGTAGTGACAGCTCTAAAAACATAACAACAGGAGTATAGTTCTGCTGACGTCACGTACATTATAGATGCACATATCTTCCGCCGCATTAGCATTAGCATCTGCTCCGTGCTAAACTCTCTCCTCTCGCCCTTGTCACCAGTGCCCTCCCTCTTTCTCTTCCTAGTTCCTCTCTCGGCCAATCAGCTCTCAGCCCAAAGAGTCAAACAGTGGCTCCCAGGGCTCTCTCTCACAAGTTTGCAAGAGATGTTTTCTACTGCGATGTTACGGTTTGATTTGTCCACTACATTTTACTTTACTAGACTCTTTTGATTACCCCACTGAACATTATAAAGAGCTTTGGGTGACCTTGGTCTGTAAAATGCGCTATATAAATAAACATTACTTACTTACTAACTTACCCCAGTTACTTTATGAGTACTCCCATTCACATCCATGGACAAGCAGTGTTACAACTGCTGAACGTATGGAAGCCTGTTTACGCCATGTAAAAAAAAAAAAAGCCAACAGAAAGTAATAATTCTGACTTTATAACTCGAAATTATGAGTTTAAAAGTCAAAGTTATGA